CCCCGCTCACCCCTTACCCCCTCACCTCATACAGCTGAGAAAGCTGAGACAGCCGTCTGCTGCTCCGTCGTCGTAAAGACCCGTCGGCCGTCTGCTGTCGCCCTGGAACTGGGCGCAAATAAAAACATTCAGAAACAGCCGACAAGTACGCCGTGGCATCCCGACAGTCCTCGGCCCCTCAGAGTTCCCCGGGCCTTCCCCGTTTGCGTCACTCTCGTTATTCATCCTCCCGGCAGGTAGGTTGACCTCCCGAAGTGCTCCGATCGAGCGCCGAAGGTTATGAGTGTTTATGTTTACCTGCCTCATTAACTGCCGCACACTGTGGCAATCGCCGCCCGAAGCGTCGAAGCCCAGGGTGACCTTTACGCGCTTCTGTGACTCGCCGCGACTTGTAAAGAAGTCGTGTGAAAGCCGCAGCCCGACAGCTCGCTGGACTTTGTCTTATTCTCCTGTCGCTGCTAGCGACCCCCCCGGCCCGGGGGCTTATCTGTTGCTGCTGCTGCTCCACCTCAAGTATCTCCCTGTCAATTAATTGACACAGAGTACTCTGTGCACCCGTGGCAGCATAGTGTGCCTTCATCAACACCATTTGGGACAGCTTAAACTGGTTTGAAGTGTGAGCTAAGAGTCGCATTTATTTTTCAGACATGCCCGTCGTTCAGGGAAAACATGGTCCACTTGTTGGTGCCATTGATGAGGGAACAAGTAGTGCGCGTTTCCTGGTGAGTATTTGAAATTGATAGAAAACTTGTTTTCTTATTTCATTTTCTTGTTTTAATTATTTAAGTCTCACAACAGCAACAAAAAAAAATCAACACGTATTTACACTAATATTGTTTCTTTTTGAAGATTTTTTCTGCAGAAACCAAACAAATTGTTGCTAGACATCAAATACCTCTGAGTTTGATTTATCCAAAGGAAGGATGGGTTGAACAAGACCCTGTTATGATTCTTAATGTAGTGAGAGAATGCATATCGCAAGCGGTGGATAATCTTGTAGCAGAGGGCTGCTATGCATCTGACATTGTTGCTGTCGGTATTACAAACCAGCGTGAAACAATTGTAGCCTGGGACAAAACAACTGGTGTACCTTTCCAACACGCCATAGGTTGGTAAAGAGTCACACGACACGCTTTCATATTTTCCTATCTTTTTAAGCATAATTGACTCTCAAAATTTTGGTTTCAGTCTGGCAAGATATGCGTACCAGTCATATGATTGATGAATTGATTCAAAAGTTACCTAATGCAGACAAAAATGGCTTAGCTAGCAAAAATGGCCTTCCTCTTAGTCCTTACTTTAGTGCGAGCAAGATTTCATGGCTCTTGCAAAATAATCCAGAAGTAAAACTTGCTTTGGATGAAAATCGTCTTCTTGTTGGGACCATTGACACTTGGCTTATTTGGGTAAATCGATGTCACTGATTTGTAGGTGGAATTTTTTTCATATTTTGTAATGCAATACCACCTTGTCTTCAGAATCTTACTGGTGGTGTTAATAATGGTCTTCATATTACTGATGTCTCAAATGCTTCCCGCACAATGCTTATGCATATTGAGTCTCTCAAGTGGGATCCATCCCTATGCGAGTAAGTACTCTATTTATATTGACTGTCACACCAAAAATAAAAATCCATCACAACCACAGCAAATTAATGTAGTTTATGTGTTTTTGTAGATTCTTTGACATTCCTATGAAAATTCTACCAGAAATTCATAGCTCATCTGAAAAGTATGGGGAGATTGCAGAGGGAAAGATACAAGGTGTGCCTATTTCAGGTGTAAGTAAATTTTTGTAAACCTATTCAATGCTCTTTCTTATTTTAATAGTGCTCTAGTAATAATTTTTTTTTCTTGAAGATACTAGGAGACCAGCATGCAGCCCTGGTTGGACAAATGTGTTTTAAGTCTGGGCAAGCAAAGAGCACATATGGCACTGGTTGTTTTTTACTTTACAGTACAGGAGAAAAGGTAACAAAAATTGTAGCTATTTTTAATATTTTTAAAATTATTTTATTGGTAGTAATTTTTTATCTTTCTTCTTATTAAAGAGAGTGGAATCCAAATTCGGTCTAGTGGCAACGGTGGCCTACCAAATGGGACCACACAAGAAGCCTGTGTACGCTCTAGAAGGCTCTGTGGCTGTAGCAGGTGCAGCTTTCAACTGGCTGCGTGATAATGTAGATATGCTGTCTGACATAAGCCAGAGTGAAGCTCTCGCCGACAGTGTGGGAAATACAGGAGATGTATACTTTGTGCCTGCCTTCTCCGGTCTCTATGCTCCCTACTGGATTTCAGATGCTCGCGGGTGAAAAGATACTTTATGTTGATTTTATCTATCTATATTTGCACTGTGCCAGAAACAAGTGCGCATCCATATTTTGTCCTATGTTTATTTATACCAATTTCAATCTTTGTAGAGTTATGTGTGGAATTTCTGAAACAACATCTCGTTCTCATATCATCCGAGCAACTCTAGAAGCTGTTTGCTTCCAAACTAGGGATATACTCGATGCAATGAATGGGGATTGTGGGGTGCCTCTCTCTCGCCTTCAGGTTGATGGTGGGATGACTGCTAACCATTTGCTGATGCAGCTACAGGCTGATCTCATTGGTATTCCAGTTGGTGAGTATGCTGATCATTTCCAGTTAGCAGGAGACGGTTTCTTAGTCAGTGTTGTAATTAAAAAAAAACAAAAAAAAACTCTTTTCATATATTTCAGTGCGGCCTAAGATGGCAGAAACAACAGCATTAGGAGCAGCTTTAGCTGCAGGCTGTGCTAGTGGAATTGATCTTTTCGACTTGGATAATATTGAGAGAATGCCTGCTGATGTTTTTGAACCAAAAATCACGGAAGAAGGTAATAAACACTGCTTTCTTTGTAAATTTTTAAACTTTCTGTCATTTGGATATATATATATTAATATTTTCCAAAAATTGTTTCAGACCGCAATGAGCGTTATAATAAGTGGAAGATGGCAGTAGAGCGCAGTCTTGGGTGGGAAACCTAAAGTATTTTTAAAAGTTCACCAAAGTATTGGGATACATTGTTCTCATCTTGTATCCCTTTCTCAAGTACTTGAGTTGATTTTGTGATATTCGTCTGAGGGTGCCTCAACAATGAGCAAAGGCAGTATGGCTTGAGACCAGGCGACCCGAGGGAACCTGAGGCGTTTGTGCAACTTGTAGCCTGTCTCAAGCCTCCTACATTTGACTACTTCCATCAATTTTGAGGGCACCTTTACAAGTCTTACCATCAGTCCAACCCCTTGTTTTAGTGAGTGCCCATACTCTACTCTGTTTTATTCAAGTCTCACTGTTTATAATTTTATGTGTGAGTGTGCGTTTTGCATTACTACTCCATGAATGTGATGTCCTAGATATTTAAGCCACAAAGATGCATTTAGATTGTCGAGAAGCACATGAAATAAGTTACTTAAATGCCTCAGAAGCTATCAGGGTGTTAATTTATGGACCAGTTCTCTAAAGACGCGTTTTTATAACAAAAACATGAATGAATTTTAGAATGTTTATATTTTTTGTAGATACCGTTATATTGTACTGAGAGGTGTACTTATGTCATCAGCCACAGTATTAATATTTGTCACTTTTTGAAGTGTAGGAAATATAGCTATACAAATTTAAAACTGAAAAACTGTGTTTTTT